TGCTTATAAGCAGGAATCAGGAGGATAGAATTATGGTCAGATTTGCCAAATGGAGGGCGAGGGAGAGCTTTGTATGCGTCTCTGTGTGTGGAGTAAAGGTGGTCTAGAGTTTTTTTTCCTCTGGTTGCACATAATTAGGTAAAAGTTATTTAAGTTTGCCTGCATTAAAGTCCCCGGCCACTAGGAGCACTGCTTCTGGATGAGCATTTTCTTGTTTGCTTACGGGCTTATACAGCTCGTTGAGTGCGGTCTTAGTGCCAGCATCGGTTTGTGGTGGTAAATAGACGGTTACGAATAATATAGATGAGAGCTCTCTTGGTAGATAGTGTGGTCTACCGCTTATCATGAGGTACTCTACCTCAGGCGAGCAATACCTCGAGACATCTTTAATATTAGACATCACGCACCAGCAGTTATTGACAAATAGACACACACCCACGCCCCTCGTCTTACCAGACGTAGCTGCTCTGTCCTGCCGATGCACAGAAAACCCAGCCAGCTCTATATTGTCCGTGTCGTCGTTCAGCCACGACTCTGTGAAACATAAGATATTACAGTTTTTAGTGTCCTGTTGGTAGAATAGTCTCGACCGTAGATCATCGAGTTTTTTTAACAGTGATTGCACGTTGGCCAATAGAACTGATGGTAGTGGCGATTTACTCACTCGCCTCGGAATCCAAGGCACCCTGACCTTTTCTCTCTGTATCTCCACCTTTTCTTCACGCGAATGACAGGGATTTGGGCCTGGTCTCCGGAAAGCAGTATATCCTTCGCGTCGGACTCATTCAAGAAAAAATCTTCATCCAGTTCGAGATGAGTAATCGCTGTTCTGATGTCCAGAAGCTCTTTTTGGTCATAAGAGATGGTAGCAGCAACTTTATTTACAAAATAAGTTACAAACAATGCGAAAAAACAAACAAAATAGCACAGTTGATTAGGAGCCCCTAAAACAGCAGCCATCCCCTCCGGCACCATTTTCACTCTTTTGTATATACAGTACATAGTGTGCTTTCTGAACCATTCATAGCAACTGGCTAACAAATTAGATCATATTGACAGCCACTCTCTTGATGACCCTACCTTAGTGGATCCATGCATTGATTCTATTAATTGACTGCTCTCCATCTCACAGCTCAACGCATTTCTGTCTAGTCCTGATTGAGTAGTGGAGATCTCTATAGTCAACCTGTTTCTCCTTTGCACTATACTATACTGTTGATTAGTTGACAGTTAGTTGACTCTGTGGCTCATGGTCAAACTGATGATCAATGCCGTGGAATGAGCCGTCGGCATGGGGATCTCTATTGACAAAGCATACATCTGAGTGTGTTGGCATTAACGACAATAAGTCAACATTAAAACTGCAGCTTGTAAACGGTCAAAGACCTCCATGTTATTGAACTGCTCAAACCAGAGACATGCACAGAGGCTGTCTGATAGCCTGTCATACTCCCAGTTGAAATAAACACATTTGAGTTTGACTTCTCCGATTCGTAACTTTCCAACATGGGTTTGCAGCAGCATTGCTTAGTAACCACAGCACATGGCTGACCTTATCGGTCTTTTTATTCATTTTCTCTTTTTCCTTCTCTCTCACGCACGCACGCACACACTGCATGGAGCAGAGTGATGGGTGTGGGTAGTTACTGGGAGTTCCTTAAATATGACTGACAGGAAATGAGTTGGCTGAAGCCTCAGACCTCAAAAGTGCATCATGATCCCATAAGAGTCTCCCTATCTTCTTAGAACGAAGAATATCATTGACCCACACAATCCTTGTTTTCAGCTGTTCGACTTTCCTTGAAAGGTAAGGCATATGCTATCTATTTGAGAGGTGTATTCTCTTGTCATAAGAACAAGAAAATGCTTCTTTGTCACCAAAATATTTTATTCTAGGCTATAGCGTACTATAAAACGGTGCTGACCATAGAACATTATTGTTCAATAAATGCAATAGGTGATATTGTTATTGTTTGATTATAGTGTTGATAAAACAACTATATGTTATTTTATAAGAATAACCATAAACTATGGAGGCAGGTTGGGGGTTTATTTTGTATGATAATTACTCTTGGTGATGGTTGTAACTACCATAAAGGTTTTATTTATCATTTATGCTAACACTTACTGTTAAAGTATAATAAATAAATAAAAAATTAACAATAGCCTACTCTGCAACACCTTTTAATTGTGCATATATCATCTCTCTCTCAGACTAGAACTTCTTAGAAAAAGTATATTGCCGGAAGTTATTTCGTTCTATAAAAAGGTATGCAGCTGTGAAAGGATGTTGTGCATGTTGTCTGATAAACTTAGGTCATTTACATCAAGCTCTGGTCACAGAGATAAGTGTGAATTAGCACAATTTACCAGCTGTGTCTGTAGCAAACACGGTTCATGGGAAATGTATCAACTTAACTTTCATTACAGCTAAAATGTAAATATACTATTAGGCGTATGTAAGGGTGCTCAGGACTGAGGACTGTCAAAAAAGCAGAAGAATCAGAGATTTATTATGTGAAAATCACTTTTCACTTTTTGCCTTATCCCCTTTGATTGAGTACAATTGTATGCACAATTTTTTTTTCTCAATTACAGAGATAATAAAACATGGTCTGCTTCAATGCAAAGCAATGAGTCTAAACGGCTTATGACAGTAACAAGTGGCATGTCAACACTGCTCTTAAACATTTACATTTTAGTCATTTAGCAGACGCTCTTATCCAGAGCGACTTACAGTTAGTGAGTGCATACATTTTCATACTGTCCCCCCGTGGAAATAGAACCCACAACCCTGGCGTTGCAAGCGCCATGCTCTACCAACTGAGCTACAGGGGACCTACAGTGTAAACTAAAATAACCACAAGACATGGTCAGTTCAGAAATGGGGAAGTGACATGTCATGGAGAAAAAGCAGAAATGCAGAACGATGTTGATGTGTGCGCCCATCAGTTATTTACTTTTATTGGCCCGTTCCACGAAGACTTGCTAAAGTGCAAAAATTCTGCATTTTGACATTTCCCTCTGTGCACCCTCTGTGACTTCAAGGAAGATTTTAACCCACTTAAACCCAACAGGCTTTTAGATTTTTTTGCAAATGTATTAAAAACAAAAAACAGAAACACCTTATTTACGTAAGTATTCAGACCCTTTGCTATGAGACTTGAAATTGAGCTCAGGTGCATCCTGTTTCCATTGATCATCCTTGAGTGGTTTCTACAACTTGATTGGAGTCCACCTGTGGTCAATTCAATTGATTAGACATGATTTGGAAAGGCACACACTTGTCTATATAAGGTCCCACAGTTGACAGTGCATGTCAGAGCAAAAACCAAGTCATGAGGTTGAAGGAATTGTCCGTAGAGCTCTGAGACAGGATTTTGTCGATGCACAGATCTGGGAAAGGGTACCAAAACATTTCTGCAGCATTGAAGGTCCCCAATAACACAGTTGCCTCCACCATCCTTAAATGGAAGACGTTTGGAACCAGCAAAACTCTTCCTAGAGCTGGTTGCCCGGCCAAACTGAGCAATCGGGGGAGAAAGGCCTTGGTCAGGGAGGTGACCAAGAACCAGATGGTCACTCTGAAAGAATTCCAGAGTTCCTCTGTGGAGATGGGAGAAGCTTCCAGAAGGACAACCATCTCTGCAACACTCCACCAATCAGACCTTTATGATAGTGGCCAGACAGAAGCCACTCCTCAGTAAAAGGCACATGACATCCCGCTTGGAGTTTGCCAAAAGGCATCTAAAGGACTCTCAGACCATGAGAAACAAGATTCTCTGGTCTGATGAAACCAAGATTGAACTCTTTGGCCTAAATGCCAAGCGTCACGTCTGGAGGAAACCTGGCACCATCCCTATGGTGAAGCATGGTGGTGGCAGCATCATGCTGTGGGGTTGTTTTTCAGGGGCAGGGACTGGGAGACTAGTCAGGATCGAGGGAAAGATGAACAGAGCAAAGTACAGAGAGATCCTTGATGAACACCTGCTCAGGACCTGACTGGGACGAAGGTTCACCTTCCAATAGGACAACAACCCTAAGCACACAGCCAAGACAACGCAGGAGTGGCTTCGGGACAAGTCTCTGAATGTCCTTGAGTGGCCCAGCCAGAGCCCGGACTTGAACCCGATCGAACATCTCTGGAGACCTGAAAATAGCTGTGCAGCGATGCTCCCCATCCAACCTGACAGAGCTTGAGGATCTGCAGAGAAGAATGTGAGACTCTCCAAATACAGGTGTGCCAAGCTTGTAGCGTCATACCCAAGAAGACTCAAGGCTGTAATCGCTGCCAAAGCTGCTTCAACAAAGTACTGAGTAAAGGGTCTGAATACTTTTGTAAATGTAATATTTCCGTTTTTTAAATATTTAATACATTTGCAGAAATGTGTAAAAACCTGTTTTTGCTTTGTCTTTATGGGGTATTGTGTATAGATTGATGAGGGGAAAAAACGATTTAATCAATTTTAGAATAAGGCTGTAATGTAACAAAATGTGGAAAAAGTCAAGGGGTCTGAATACTTCCCGAATGCACTGTAATAGTCAAATCATAGTGAGCTGGTTCTACTCTTTTTGGCCATTTTCTGGTGTTTTGTGGTGGGAAATTGAGCAGGTCGAGCATAACACGTCAACCCTGTTACTCATAGACAGGCTAGAAATGTTTTAACAATTTCATTTTCTTTGTGGAGGTTGCATTCATATGCCACTCCCTGTTGCACACAATAAGCTTTGATTCCCCCTGTCACAAGGGGATTGATGGCTGATTTAAGATGAAATCGTCAACCCTGTTACTTTATTTGGCACTTAATAAAAAACTAGTTTTCATAAGTTGAACATGTATTAAAATCAAGTGCAATCAAACTGTTCTTTAACAAGTTACACCGAATTGGTGGAAAGACCCTCTTGCAAAATCTTTCAAGAAGCCATTTCTATGGAATTCATGAGAGGTCAACAAGTTCATCAACTACTTACATGTATATTTGGGCTCTTTTGTGCACTAGATCACCCATGGAACCTTTACGAGAACACTTCTGGCTGTGGGTGATTCTTGGAATGATTTTTGTTTCCTTGGTAATAAGTCTCATCTTCATCCTTATCAACAAGTGTATCTCCAAGAAAGGTATGTCTTTTCAATTATGCTATTACATCAGTAGAAGCACTATTATGAGCGTTACAGATCCATTTTCATCACTACTTATAAGAACTGTCTTTTCAAAGTATGTGCACATTGTATCAACAACTCTTATCTTTTTTACAGCTGCTGAACAATACAATACAAATACATCAAGTCACACGACACCTGAGTTTTATGCCCAGTAAGTCTCTTGCACTATTTTCAACAAAATTTCTATTGACATTTATAGAGATTGATTTTGTCTACTCATCATTCATTACCACAATTAAAACCACAAGTTTGGTCCTCTATTCCCCTCAAACCTTTGAATCAATTTAGGGCAATTTGTTTTAGGCGTTCTTAGGGAAGGGAGAGGGGTCTTGTCAAAAGTATTTTCCAAAGTGGAGATCTAATTTCTCGGGTTTCTCCCATATCCAGGAGCAGTAAATATCATCCCAAAGATCTGGAGGATGATTTGCCTCCTTTACCACCCAGGACTCAATTTCTCACATCCTGTCCCAGTAAGCATCAGGTTTCTTGCGATGAGCCTTGAAATGCAATCATGAACACACAATTGGAGTAATATTACACAAGGATAAGCTGTTGGGTTATAATTCACAATAGGAACCTTTTAAGCCCACACAGTAACAAAACCCTTTTTTGGGCCCTGTACAATATCAGCCTCAACTGTCAATAATGTGTGTGTCTTTGCTTTCCAGAGACCGAAAGCTATGAGAACCTTGCAGAGCTACCTGACTATGTTAAAGTAGATGACAAGGCCCCTCCTCCACTGTACCATCACACAGATACACTGGTGTGTCAGGATGTTTCCCATGACCATGATGGCATTTCAGAGGACTATGATAACATCGGAGCAGACTGCCAGAGTGAGGACTATGATGATCTGGGATAAAGCCCGAGGCATCAGAGACTATACTAAAGACACTGTTGTGGCACATATGTAATGTATACTCCTGCTAGCCAAAAATAGATGTTCTGTACAAGTACAACTATCCTTCAGCTGATATGGCTTCATGTTTTAATAATTTTTTTGTTCATGCTTTACCAGTTTGCAGAGGACTGTAAAGTATAGCTGCCTGGTATTTACCAAGAAGCTATCTGGTAACAATGGATAATTTCTTACCTTCAAGAATTCAACACAATTTAGTTGTTTCAGGGTAGACTATGTAACTGAATCTATTAGGCTGTAGTTAGCAGGAAAAATAAGCTGTGTAGTTTCAAAATGAACATTGAACATAAGAGTATAATGGAAAAATGTGCACAATCTTAATAACTACCTAGTACCATATGGGGTTGTCAATGGTGCTTGTTTTGCTAACTTATTAAAGCCCATAGACCAAACCAGCTGTATCAGGAAACAACGCAAGTGAAGTGGTAGATTTAACCATCTTACTCAGTCTTTACATCTGAGCAGTAATCTGAGGCTTGCTGAGTTTATAAACCAGCATATAGTTGTTGAAACCCTGTAGTTCTATGAATCATCAATGTTAGATTGTGTTGTTAGAACTATGTACTTATGCTCTTAGCTCTCTGTGGATCATGAAGCAGCATACCTTGCCATGTAAAACATTACATTGTTTTATGAAACCAATAACTGTAAAAGGTTTCCAACTGATCGGATCTAGTGTAAAAATAGAAATGGGTGTAATGGTGACTTTCCTTGTCCACCAGTGACAACTTTCTTTTGCGAAGTTAAAGATTAGATCCTCGGTTTGTTCCATAGTCAATAACCAATCTACTAAAAGACTATAGGCATTTCAAAATCGGTATTGATTAAAATATGATGAATGTGATCTCTAAGCACTCCCATGAAGGTCAAGAACTGCAAAAAAGTGAAGCGTATACTACTTACTGTATGTAACTGAAACCAAAAAAAGGTGTCTAGTTTCAACTTGAATACGGAAGGGAAAAATGTAAACATGTATTTTTTGCAGGGGTTTCAAAATGGCTTGTCACTTGTGTGTAGAGCCTAGAAGCCTGGCATGCAACACAATGGTCGGCCAACATTACGCTCCCTTCCTTCCATTCACTGCAATGTCTTCTCCTACCAGAGGAGGGCAGTATTACAAAGAGTAACATATGCTTGTTTGATTTGTCTGCAGTTAATACTTTCTACAGTTGCAATAAACAAATGTGCTTTTATTCAATATGTAAGAGTGCTCACATTGTTGATACCTAGTGCATCCAAGCACATAAATCTAATTTAATTATGGAACTCCTTAGAGAAAAACTTGCTTCAACCGATGCAACACTACAGAAAAATTACAAAGAAAATATCTCCAGCATTATCTACATATGCCACATGTTTATTATTTTAAAAAAGTCAAATGGAAAAAACACTCGATCTGAATTCATTCAGATTTTTTCCTCCGCTGTTGTTTCCTGTTATTTGACAATATTGTTGAGCCTCATTTTTTCCCCACAGCAATAAAGCCAAATGTCAACACAGCTAAAGGTTTACCATCAAATGACACTTCCTGTTGTTATGTCCGCTTATGTGGTCTTAAAGTGACAGTCTGGCTTATAGAACAGTTTGAGGGAGATGTAAGCCACACGCCAATCTCCGAAAAGCTCTGGTTGGAGATTGGCGTTTTCCATCCAGAACTAGAGAAACAAGTCGGAAAAAAAGACCAAGTTTGTCCCTCTCTCTCTCTCTGAGGCAACGTCCATTATAAAGTGATCCTGTGGTGGGGGGCTAAATTAACCCCCGAGGCGCTGTCCCTCTCCCCAGGCGAACCCCCCTGGACGCTCCTCGGGAAGGGGGTTGTAGTTGGCATCCTCCTCTGGAGTGTCAAACAGCATCTTACTGTGGGGGAGAGAATAACAGAGACAGGTGAAGGATCTACATATACAAACCAAAACACAGTACAATATGCTTAAGATACTTTTAATAATAGATTATATGTTGCTCATCTGATAAATGGATGGTATATTTCTACTTTTATTAAAGAGCTATTGATGTGCCCTTCCTTTTCTAGAATATTATCAATCAGCATAGACAACATTTTGTCATGGCCTCTCCCAAGGACAGCATACCTTGAGAACACCTTGTCAAAACATTGGTTATAACATTGTTAATGTTGGCAATTTCCATATATTTATAACTATTGTTTACTCTGTATCAAGCTTACTGCCATTTGTGTGTGTGCCCCCTGTCTCTCCAGCAACATTACCATCTCTCCACAGACTTGTGGGGTAAACACTGCAGTTTCTATCATAAGACAAATTCATTATTGGACTGTACTAGAACCATATCAAACTTACAGAAAAAAGGGAGTCTTGAGCCATCTGCCACCACCTGGCTGGTTTGGGAACACATCCTCCAGAAAGAAGTACACATGACCCACAGCGATACCTTAGGGAAGGGAACACAGCATTGACCCGACTAGTCACCACTCCTCAATGGTCAATAAGGCAACAACATTTTGGATCTTAACGCCATTAATAACATTGATGCATTACAGAAATGAGTTATGGTGGTTAGGGCGACTGGTACCTAGTAAATCCACAATGATGGAGTTGCCCAGCAACAGAGAGAATCCCATGAGCACCCAAGGGAGAAAGGGCGCCTGAAAGTTCAGCAGGCCAAAGAAGTTCATGCGAACGTTGGGGTTGCGCCTGCTCCACACGTACACCAGCATGATGGTGAAGGCTTGGCCCAAGAACACCAGACTCACAAAGGTGCCAAATATCTATGTGCTTACTGAGAAAAAAGTGATTGGTAGATTGAATTGTGGCATACAGCATTATTTGAGTTGATTTACTCTTACTTAGGAAAGGAAGGAAAGGGGATACCTAGTCAGTTGCACAACTGAATGCATTCAATCAAAATGTGTCTTCTGCATTTAACCCAACCCCTCTGAATCAGAGCGGTGCGGGGGGCTGCCTTAACTGACGTAATCGGCATAACGGCAGATTTTCCCACCTTGCCAGCTCGAGGATTCGAACCAGCGACCTTTCAATTACTGGCCCAAGGCTCTTAACCTCTAGGCTACCTGCCGCCAACTGCAGCCAACCAACTGATTGATTCTCAGTATGAGAACTAGCCTAAACACAGCTAAAAAAAGAAAGAAAACTAGGTGGCAATGACTGTGACTGTTGCTCAAGAGCTTCTCGTAAAGGTATCAACTAAGACCATGAAAGTAACAGTTGTTACAAGGATACAGTCATCAGAAGGCCACCGAAGAGGAACATGAAGACAAAGTCAGCGGTGCGGCCCCTGAATGAGCCCTCCTCCAGCATACGACAGTATCGGTACCTGGAAGCCAATGGTTAAGGAAATCTGCCACGGGCAAAGCAAATACTTAGCCTATAATTCATTATGATTAGACAGTTGCATCAAGATTACAAATAAATGAAACATGGCTAGTCTTCTTGTTCAAGACAAGCATTTTATGAGTCGCATAGTGCTTCCAATCAAAGGGATTGAAAAATATGCAAAATATCAATTTCACAAGTACACTCAGCAAGACAAGTGCAACAGAAAAAGGATACAAAAAAATCATATTGAAAAGGAAGTTGAAGCCAATTGGACCGAAAAATAGAAAGTTGGTTATGAGTCTCCATACCTACAAGACAGAACAAAGAAATCATTCAACCTTGCATCTCACTTATTTTTTAAAAATGCTTATACACAGTAGGCCTAAGATTAAAAATTCCAAAATGTTTTTCATATCTGATAAAGTAGCTAAATGACCGATGATTGCATGTACTCACCTGATAATTCCTTAGTATCAAATCAGGGTTGAAGTATAGTTGGAAAGGTGTGATGAGTTCTAATTGCTGAGGGTGAGAGCAAAGAAAGCATCATCATTAGAATCAATAGCTCACCTGTTCTATCTGATGATACATCTTTTGTCAGAAAATGTTAAGTCAACCATGAACTATCATCAATCTTGGAATTCTTGACATTCTTTTAAACAGCAGCTAACAAACTGCAACTCTATGCTTAGCATGCTGAGGTTAACTAAGGTAAAACGTAGCCATCTTCGCCCACGGCTGGCTGTGTGAACTACAATTCCAACGCTGTGTTTTAGTGTCAATAATCATCGCTTGCCAAATGGGTTTCAAAACATATGGCCCTCATCATTCCTATCAGCGAGAAAAATATATACAATAAGTGTAACCAATGTTCCCTCTAAACTGTGACGCTGGCACGCAGTAGCCCCGAGCGCAAAATAAATATCAGCCCACGGAGAGAAGCAGGATATAGAACTTCACTCAACTTTCTAGAGTTTTCCCTGTTAGTTAACACTATCAACGTTTCCCTTTACTGTGGCAATTGTGATCGAATCAATGCAATAACCACTTTCAATGCAACATACTGAAACAAAACGAACGATGCAATAGATTTGATTGTAGGCACAATGCAAATGCATCCAACAAGTTTGTAGAGTCACAAGCTTGATGTAATAATTGTGTGCTAGGAATATGGGACCAAATACTAAACTTTTGACTACTTTAATACACAAGTGAATTTGTCCCTTTACTTTTTAGTCCACGTACAAAAAGTGCTGTAATTTCTAAACGGTTCACCCGATATGGATGCAAATACCCTCAAATTAAAGCTGAAAGTCTGCACTTTAAATCCAAAGTGCTTGAGTACAGAGCCAAAACGACAAAAAATGAGTCATTGTCCCAATACTTTTGGAGCTCATTATATATCATTTGGCATGGCAAACTGTCTAAGAGCTATTGAAGATTGAAAGCAAAAAATTTATAAATACTTTTTTTTTTTTTTGCTGTGGATTTTTGTCCATCCTGCCTTGATTCAGAATGTATCATTTTCATACAGTGGTGTCGAGTACTTAAGTAAAAATACTTTAAAGTACTACTTAAGTAGGTTTTTTGGGGGTATCTGTACTTTAGTATTTCTATTTGACAACTTCTACTTCACTACATTCCTAAAGAAAGTAATGTACTTTTTATTCCATACATTTTCACTGACACCCAAAAGTAGTCTTTACATTTTGAATGCTTAGCAGGACAGGAAAAAATTGTCAAATTCAAACACTTATCAAGAGAACATCCCTGGTAATCCCTACTGCCTCTGATCTGGCGGGCTCACTAAACATAAATGCTTCATTTGTAAATGATGTCCAAGTGTTGGAGTGTGCCCCTGGCTATCCGTAAATTTAAAAAAACAATTAAATGGTGCCATCTGGTTTGCTCAATATAAGGAATTTGAAATGATTTGATACTTAAGTATATTTAGCAATTATATTTACTTTTGATACTTAAGTATATTTAAAACCAAATACTTTTAGACTTTTACTCAAGTAGTATTTTACTGGGTGACTTTCACTTGAGTCATTTTCTATTAAAGGCATATTTACTTTTACTCAAGTATGACAAATGGGTACTTTTTCCACCATGGCACGCTTTGTATAAGAACTATTGAAGATCGAAAATAGTAGCCTGGAGGAGGCTTGGCTAAACATCAGACTGCTATACAGACCAGCGTACTGAAAGTCGGGTTAATAACACTACTCTGTGGCTATTTTGTCTAAACTTTCGAGCAGCAGTAGGACACACCGCACAGGCAATTGGTAGAGCAAGTTTAAATGTCATTTTATTCAACATTCTTGCTTGTAAGGAACATTTACACAAATGTCTCGGGCTGTATCTACCAATTAATTGTGTATTAGAACCTGATTAATCAGACTGGGAGGGGGAGGAGGAGGAGAAATCTCACTTCCTCATTAGTCCCGTGTAGCTCAGTTGGTAGAGCATGGCGTTTGCAACGCCAGGGTTGTGGGTTCGATTCCCACGGGGGGCCAGTATGAAAATGTATGCACTCACCTAACTGTAAGTCGCTCTGGATAAGAGCGTCTGCTAAATAACTAAAATATAAAATGTAAAATTAGCATGTCTTGCTAGCTAGATGTATGCTGCGTTCAAAACAACTGGGAACTCGGAAAAAGACTAGGTCAAATCATGACGTCAGTGATCTTCAGGTCGGAATTATAGAAAGAGTTCCGAGTTGGAATTCTGAGTTGGATGACCGTTCAATTGATCTGTCGGAGCTCGGTTTTTTCGCGAGTTCCCAATTAGTTTGAACGCACTGAAGTCGGAAGTAGGAGATTTTCGAGTTCCGAGCTCCCAGTTGTTTTGAATGTGGCAGTAAACCGCACCAAAAACAGTAAAGTAAACGTTACGAAATGCAGCTGTGCTCACAGGTAATCATGCCATGAGAAGTTTCGCTACCAACTGCATAGCCCATTTAGCTAGCTACTGACCCATGCCTTGCACACATTTGGTCAATTCGATAAAGGTCGGTGACAGCCCAACTACAGTCAAGAACAATTATTTGGCGACACAAACACAGCAGTCTAGCACTCTAGCTAATTGATGTGCACTACCGTACTGTCTTTGGCACTTCTGTTTTGCCAAAGAGACGCGCTAACTAAAGCAGCAAGCTACTAGCTAGCGAGTTAGCAGACTGACATCCACGGCTAAACGCCAAGCCCTGACCCTGTCTACATTGCCAACAAGAAGATGTTTCAGATGAAATTATAATATCTTACCACGGCAGCGGTGGTGAGGACGCAGGCAGTTGTGTATGCCCGAGTTACAACAGGGATCTGTAAATATTCCTGCTGAAAAGTCTGGTAAGCCATTTTGGACCAACTGAAGGCTTCCGGCACTTTCTTGACACGTCATCACAGGGTGAGAATGCCGCGTTCAAAACAACTGGGAACTCAGAAAAATACAAGGTTAAATCATGACGTCAGTGATCTTCAGGTCGGAAATTCGGAGCTCTAGAAAGTGGCCTGAGTTCCCGAGTTGGAATTCCGAGTTGGATGACCGTTCAAATCGATTTTTCCGAGTCGGAGCTCGTTTTTTTCCGAGTGCCCAGTTGTTTTGAACTCTCGGAAGTCAGAGATTTCCGAGTTGTTTTGAACGCGGCATAAAGGGGAGTTGCTGTGAGTTTTTATGATCTGTCATTGGTTTGTCAGTCCATGTTATTTTTGTGTGAGCCAATGGTGTGAGCGAACCACAAACCTGTCAATCACATAGTCGATGAGACGATGGCATTCTTTGATTGGTCCGCGTATGTCTCTACAACAAATAGGATGAAAGGGGAGTGAGGTTTTTACGTCATGGGAACGGCTTTTCTCATGTATTTTTATTCAGTCACGAAGTTAGATACAGTATTTGAAATATATTCAGTATGTCAACAAAGTTAACATACATTGCGTTATCCCGTAACCACATCCACCTTTAATCTACATCTGATACTTATATTTTGTGTGTGTGTTTTCTTCAATATGGCAATGAATAAGGACAAATAACTGCTCATATTATATTATTTATGAAGTATTCCACTAAATGAAAGAACTTGACCAATGACAGCTGACAGTATTTACTCTTCCATCTCCTTTGCGTTTTTACATCTTCCTCAATTTGAGGTCTGGGATGTACGTCGTGTGATTTTATTTGCCATATGCCTTTTTCAACACATTTTCTCATCCTTTCTCGGTTTCCTTTCGTTATATTTCCTCACAACATCCACCAAGTGGGCTTTTTCCTCACTTTTTCCTTACTCTCTGCTGTTCTAGCTCTGAGCAGCTCTTTTACTTTGTTCTTCTCCAACATCTCTCTTTCCTCTCCCTTTTCTCCTGCTTTGCCCTGACTCTCTGGGCACTTCTAGTTTCCATACTTTTACAATGATGCATCTGAAAGAGAAAGCCCATGTAAAATAGTGATCTGCGATATTATTATTACTCCTTCTCTAGCATGAAGTCAATTTAATCTATTGAATCCTAAATAGGCCTCCTGTAGCTCAGTTGGTAGAGCATGGCCATTGCAACGCCAGGGTTGTGGGTTTGATTCCCACAGGGGGCCAGTATGAAAAATGTATGCGCTCATTAACTGTAAGTCGCTCTGAATAAGAGCGTCTGCTAAATGACTGTAATGTAAATGTAAATATGACACTTAAGTGATATTCCTCAACTTTGACTCAGGACATTCTGCAGCTGGTACAGCTTTATTTCTGGCTCCTTCATTCCCTCCTCCATTTCGCTCTTCTCTTTTGCCCACTTCTCTTCTTTCTCCCTTTGCATTCTCTCCATTTCCCTATTCTTTCTCTCCCACTCCCCTGTAAACTCCCACCTCTCCTTTTCCATCGCTCTCTTTTCTATCTCCCATCCCTTTCTCTTGTACATCCAGGAACAGAATCTTAATCTTCTCTCTTTCCAGAGCCTCTATCGCTCTCTCCTTCTCTCTCAGCTCAATTATCCACTCCTCTATTGCCTGCATGCTCCTCCTCATGCACCAACATGGATTAAATCAAGGTTTATCTATAAATCTTGTTGCAGCTAACTTTAAACCTAGTTTAAAATTAATCCTAGTTAAATGTAATCCTTCTAAACTAAGTTTAATTTGGACTTTATTAAAAAAATCAAATTTAAATGTTGTTTAGGGATTAAATCTAAACTGCCACTGGAGGAGGTTTAAATTAATCAAATGTCAGTGTATGTGCTGTATTTTCAGTGTGTTAAATTGTTTAGCTCCTGTGCCTTATCATGTTCATAAAACTCAACCAGCCAGCTAACTAATTTGACAAAAAAAGTGCAATTAATTGCATAATTGATCCCTGAGGTTTCGTAGGCCAGCCTTGACCTCTCTCTCTCCAGCTTCCATTGGTTGCGGTGTACCTCGTTAGAAGTCTCAGTCTCTTTTATCATTCTCAGTTGCTCTTCTATTTGCCTTTGGCTTTCTTGCTCTTGTTCCTTCCTCATCTTGTTGACTTTCTCCAACAACTCTCTCTCCAGCTTTCATCGGTTGTGGTCTACCTTGTTAGAAGTCTCAATCTCCTTTATCTTTCTAAACACCTCCTCCATATCTCTTTCTTGCTCTCGTCCCACCCTCATCTGGTTGTCTTTCTCGATCTCCTCACTTTCAGTAATCTCTTTCTCCACCTCATTAGCTATGTTTCCATTATCTTGTCCAGTAATTTTTTTGTCGACATTTAGAAAGTTTGCATAGAATATATATGCCACAATTGTTTGCTAGGGTGCGTTTCTATTTAACTATCTTACATTGACGAAAACAGGTGGACGTAACGACTTTTCGCATAAACCTAGTGTCGAATAAAAATG